GGGGGGTCACCACTACATGAGCAGCTGTATTAAAGGGTCGAGGCATTAGGAAGGTTGAGAACCACTGCCCTAAAGGGTTTTACAGAGGCAAGGGGCATGGTGTGACTTAGTTTTAAAACATTCCTGCAGGCCGAGGCATACAGCTTGAACCTAGTAGACCAAGAGTAGACGTTGGCAGCAAGTGGTTAGGAAGCAATTCAAGAGAGGTGGCTAGAACTAACGGGGTGGGATGCAGGGGGGCCCGTTCTAGGAGGCAGAGGGAGGAAGGCGTGGCAATCCCAGGCCTGTGGACTGAGCAAGGTGCACGCGGCTCTGTGTCTGAGTGGGAGGCTCGGGAGTTCTGTGTGGCCTTTTGAAGCTGAGCTGCCCAGGGCGCTGGCTGGTTGTGAGGGAAGAATGGCCAGCCCAGTGCTTGCCTGGCTCTGCGAATCCTGGGCAGGTGGTATGCGCTGGGTTTTCTTGTCTTTAAAATAGGAGTTGTGCCATCTGCTGTATGTACTTACTCTCCGGCTGTGTAGGGAATGTTTTTTACAGCAAGTGGTTGTGAAAGCCCTCACGTTAGGTGTGTGTTCACCAGCCAGGGCCGCCAGACCCTCAGGAAGTGTGTGTGTGGGGGTGGGGGTGGTATTAGTGCTTCACCCTCAGCTTTAGCCCCTTGGCTCTGGGGGGCCAGCTGGACACAGGCCCACATGGGGGGCAGAGCAGTGAAGGGTGCTGAGGGGGTAGGGTGGGGCTGTCTGAAGGGAAGGGTCTTGGGATTCTGAGCAGGGCCAATGCCTTAGGTCCTCTGTAGGAAGAACCTGGAAGTTCAGCAGAGGAGGAATCCAGTTGGAATCTGCCCTGCCTTTTCAAAGGCCACCTGAGACTTAGAACTCGGGCCTGTCTCTTCCCTGGGAGCTGCAGGACAAGGAGAATTCAGAGCCTGGGAGTAGAACTAGGATGGAGGTCTTTCAGCCCACTAGGACTCTAGGAATGTGAGTGGTGTAAAAGCACTGGGCTGCTAATCGAAAAGTCACTGGTTCAAACCCACCAGCAGCTACTTAGGAGAAAGAAGAGGCATTTTGCTTCCTTGAAGTTTTATGGACTCAGAAACCAGATGGGCGATGCCACTCAGCCCCGGAGGGTCCTGATGAGCTGGGACCAGCTTGGCTTGGGGTTTAGGTTGATCTATCAAGCCCTGGGGCCAGGCCACAGGGGAAGGTTTCTTCGTTGCCTTCAAGGGATGGCAGTGACAATCATGGGGCAGCAGCTTTGAGGTCTGGCAGACACCCCCCCAAGGTGAAGGCAGAGTCTGCCAGGATGGCACCGGTTGACGCAGGGAAGGGGGTACTTGCTCGAAGGTCTACAGACTGACCAGCCTGGGAGGAGCCCAGGGGAAAGGGTTGGGGACCTCAGGACTCGGGCCTTGGATTCTTGGCTTCAACAAGCCTTGGAGGAGGGGCCCGGACAAGCCCAGGCCGAGGGGGCTCCTGCGGCCCCTGGGCCATGAACAACGGGGCTCTGACCCTCGGCCTGCTGGCCATCGCAGGTAATCCTGGCGCTGTCGAACCACCTGGGGGCAGTGGAGTCGGAGAAACAGAAGCTGCGGGCGCAGGTGCGGCGCCTGGTGCAGGAGAACCAGTGGCTGCGTGAGGAGCTGGCAGGGACGCAGCAGAAGCTGCAGCGAAGCGAGCAGGCGGTGGCCCAGCTGGAGGAGGAGAAGCAGCACCTACTCTTCATGAGCCAGATCCGCAAGCTGGACGAGGACTCCTCCCCCAACGTGAGCCCCGCCCACCGCCGGGAAGGGGCGGCCCCTGGCGCTACCCCCACCGACACTGCCCGTCTTCCCGTAGGAGGAGAAGGGCGACGTCTCCAAGGACTCTCTGGATGACCTGTTTCCCAGCGAGGACGAGCAGAACCCAGGTGTGAGGGCCAGTGGTTCTGGAATGGGGAAGGGGGAAAGCCCGGGTAGGAGGCGGAGCCATGTGCGCAGTTGGGCCCGCCCCCAGAGGGCAGGAGGAGGAGCCAGATGTGCATTGCGAGCCCACCTTCCAGCGTAGGGGGCGGGGCCAGATGTGCACTACTGGGGCTGTCTGCCCCCTCCCCCATTAGGGGGAGGAGCTAAGTGTGCAGTGTTGAGGCTACCCCCAGGGGGGCGGGAGGAGCTGGGTATGCAGAGTTGAGCCCACCCCCTCCCTCAGGGTCCAGGGCGGAGCTAGTGTGTAGTGGCTAGCTTGAGGACAAGGGTACCCAGAACCCTCCGCAGAGCTGAGCACGCTGGTAGTTGCCTGCCCAGGGCCACTCACGCTGGCCCAGCCCCGTGGGAAGATGGTCCATCTGACCTCCTGCCCTCACCCTGGCAGCGCCCAGCCCCGGCGGAGGAGACGTGGCTGCCCAGCACGGAGGCTACGAAATCCCGGCCCGGCTGCGCACCTTGCACAACCTGGTCATCCAGTACGCCTCGCAGGGCCGCTATGAGGTGGCTGTGCCGCTCTGCAAGCAGGCGCTCGAGGACCTGGAGAAGACGTCTGGCCACGACCACCCCGACGTGGCCACCATGCTGAACATCTTGGCGCTGGTGTACCGGTGAGGGCGTGCAGTCAGCGTAGTCAGGGGGAGAAGGACCGACAGGGACAGCCCCGGAGCACTCGGGGCTGAGGGACAGCAGGGCTTCTCCGGGGCTTGACTGGGGCCTCTGAGAAGATAAGTGAGTCTGAAAACTCAGGGCTACAAGATGCGTGGGCGGAGCCAGGGAACAGGAAGGTGCGAGTCCTGGGGGCCGAGCAGGTCTCCCCGTGCTCTGGGTCAGGGTCCTTCATCAGTGCTTACAGGTGTGACCACGGGGTTCCTAGGTCACCAGACAGGGTGGCCTGGGCCTGGAGGCCAGCTCTCAGCTGCTCCTGCCCGCTCCCAGGGATCAGAACAAGTATAAAGAAGCCGCCCACCTGCTCAACGATGCTCTGGCCATCCGGGAAAAGACACTGGGCAAGGACCACCCTGCTGTGAGTGAGGGCGGATGGAGGGGGTGGGGGTGGGGGGGGACACATGGAGCTGCCCAGGCCCGAGTTCCCAGGTCCCAGAGGCCCTGTCGAGCTGGGCCCTGGGCCACTAGGCCTCTGCTCTCCCCATGCCAGGTGGCTGCCACGCTGAACAACCTGGCCGTGCTGTATGGCAAGCGGGGCAAGTACAAGGAGGCCGAGCCGCTATGCAAGCGGGCGCTGGAGATCCGGGAGAAGGTGGGGCCGGCCGCAGGGCTGGCGGGGGCTGTGGGGGCTGGCCCTCCGGCCCCCACCCTTGAGTCCAGCCCTGGCTCCTTCCTCAGGTCCTGGGCAAGTTCCACCCCGACGTGGCCAAGCAGCTGAGCAACCTGGCCCTGCTGTGTCAGAACCAGGGCAAGGCGGAGGAGGTGGAGTACTACTACCGGCGGGCCCTGGAGATCTACGCCACCCGCCTGGGGCCCGACGACCCCAACGTGGCCAAGACCAAGAACAACCTGGTGCCCTGGGGACAGGGGTCGGGGTCCGGGAGGGGGAGGAGGCTGCTTCCTGCTTACCCCTGCACCCTGACACTCCCCTCCCCAACCCCCAGGCTTCCTGCTACCTGAAACAGGGCAAGTACCAGGATGCTGAGATCCTGTACAAGGAGATCCTCACACGTGCCCACGAGAAGGAGTTTGGCTCTGTCAACGGTGAGCCTGGGCACACCCACCCACTGCTCACACAACAGGACTCACGCAGGGAGCAAACACGCAGCTCACACACAACACACATATTTCGCACGGCGCATGTGGGAGCAGACACCACTCACACGGGAGCACACACACACAACTGGCTCAGCCCCCTACCTTGTCGGCTGACCACCCACGTGACGTGCTCCCCACATTCTCGGCCAGGCCACAGTGGCCCATCTTGAGGCCCCGGGCCCAGTGCCCCCGCCCCCATCTGGACAGCCCATCATTTCCTACTCTGGAGACCCTGGAAGCCTGGCCTGTTCCTCACCTGTCAGGCTGTGAGTCAAGAGTGTGAAGGGCTTGCCTGTCCTGAGGCGGCTTGGGATGTCTGAGGCCTCTTGTTCTCTGTCGCCAAGTAAACCCCACTCCTGGGCCTTCGTGGCAACCCCCCCACTCCCACCCCAGTGGGTGTCCAGTAGGAGAGGTGGTGATAGCCCCCTTCCTCCCACAGGGGACAACAAGCCCATATGGATGCACGCAGAGGAACGGGAGGAGAGCAAGGTAAGGCTTGATGGGCTGGGGTGGGGGTGGTGGTGGTGGTGTG